CCTTCCAGGTTCAAGTGATTCTCCTGCCTCAGCCTCCCGAGTAGCTAGGACTGCAGGCGTGCGCCACCACACCCAGTTAATTTTTGTATTTTTAGTAGAGACGGGGTTTAACCATGTTGGCTAGGATGGTCTTGATCTCTTGGCCTCGTGATTCACCCCCTTTGGCCTCCCAAAATGCTGGGATTACAGGGGTGAGTCACCATGCCCAGCCGAAAGTTTCTTTTTCTTAGGTGTTTTTATGTACACATGTCGTTTCAGACAAAAGTTTAGAGTTACAGATTTGGAATAGCCATTTTATGGCATGGAAGTGCTGTGATATATTCTCAAATTCTACTACAAGAACAAAAAACCTTGCTTAGAAAAAACTTGTTTTTTTTGATAGGCTACTTAATATGCCTTAAAATCTGTGTACATATTTTAGCTTTTCTGTATTGCTATTTTCCTTTTACATGTAAATAATAATAGCATAATCAGTCCTGATTTTTAGCATTTTATTTTATTTGTTTTTATTATTATTATTTTTTTATCACACTAGTCCATTATTGTTATTATTATTTTTGAGACGGAGTCTTGCTCTGTCACCCAGGCTGGAGTGCAGTGGCTTAATCTTGGCTCACTGCAACCTTCTCCTCCCAGGTTTAAGCAATTCTCCTGCCTCAACCTCCTGAGTAGCTGGGATTACAGGTGCGCACAGCCACGCCTGGCTAATTTTTAGTAGAGACAGGGTTTCACCAAGTTGGTCAGGCTGGTCTTGAAATCCTGACCTTGTGATCCACCGACCTTGGCCTCCCAAAGTGCTGGGATTACAGGCATGAGTCACTGCTGCATTTTATTTGACTTTATTTTTTTGAGACAGGATCTCATTCTGTTGCCCATGCTGGAGTGCAATGGCACAATCACAGCTTACTAAAATATCAATCTTCTGGGCTTAAGCAGTCCTTCCTCCTATCTCAGCCTCCCTAAGAGCTGGCCCTACAAGTACTCATCACTACACCCAGCTAATTGATTTTTTGTAGAGACAGAATCTTTCCATATTGTCCTGGCTGGTCTCAAACTCCTGGCCTCCCTGCTTTGGCCTCCCAAAGTCCTAAGATTACAGGTGTGAGTCCTTGCACATAGTTGGAATGATGTTTAGAATCAAGTTATGAAACTCTGTCTGCCAAAAATATCCTACCTTCACAACCAGGGAATTCCACTGGAGCTTTGTGTCCACAGTTTTTATTAGTGCCCATCAGGTAGGTTTGATCAACTGTTCACATGGCTGATCTGTCTCCAGTCCCTCAGTGGGTTGAATGAATGGGCTTGCCTGTTTCGTGTGTTGTGTTTGATTTTCCTCCTGGCTTGTGTGTTTGTCCAGAAAAGTTGTTGCTCCTCCTCTCTTTCCTACTGGCAGAGCAGTACCTAGCCCAGGGCTGTGCTTATGGTAGAACTCAGTACTGTGAATTGTCCATCCTCAAATAGCCTTTATTACATGGGGGAAAAGGACAAACACCCTCCTCTAGCCTCTTCCCGTTACTTAATAAAGTGCCTTCCTTTCAGTAGCTACCCTAATTCTGGATCCTCTCCATTCTGACATCTGGAAATTCACAGGAGATAGGAGTGAGGAAATGAATGCCTGCTAAGTGGGTTTGTGTGAAGTGACTGATGTCAGATATCTCACAAGAAAAACATAATAGCGGTAGTTGTTCCTTTCCTGTGATGATGGAATAATGAATATGACAATCCTGCCGAGAGTGGTGGCTCACGCCTGTAATCCACGTGGATCATCAGGATGTCCCATAAAATATTTTCATTATCACATGATCCTAGGCATGAGAGTCCTAACTCCCCTGACTTGCATTAACTATTAGTTCTGTAAGAAATAGGGTCCATAGGAGTTCCAGCATCTCAGAATTGGGGTGAAACCCAATACAAGTAAGGAAGTTATTAATTTTCCTTTGGTAGGTCCCTCAACCCCAGCCACTGTGGACGGTCCACACCGGACACCCAGCAGTGCAGGCCTAAGGCCACGACGCGCAAGCGCAGCCTGCCTGCCTGCCTGGCTGTCTCCCTAAACATGCGTGCCGGTCGGCGGCGGGAGATCGGGTCTCGCGATGCGTGTGTGCGTGTGCGTGCGCGGCCCTCGCGAGCTCGCGCACGCCGCCTCTCACACTACAGGGTGGTAGCGGCCTTTTCCTACTGTGTCCGGGGCAGGACTGTGCGCGACGGCCGCGGCGGGAGCTGAGAGCCAGCGTCTGCCTTGCCGCCGCCCTCGCTGCTTGCCCGTCCACCTAGGCCCGTTCCCCGCGCCGTGCAGAGGCGGCGGGCTGGGGAGGGAGCGGCGCCCCCGTGAGGTTCCCAGCCGCTGGGAAGCCCCTGGACGCGCCGAGGGGTCGGGCTACAGGCGGCTGAGGTAGGTGGGCGCGCGCGGGCTGGTCACCCGGCCGTGAGGGGAGTCGGGCGGCGGCGAGAACGCCGGCTGGCTGGCGGGGGAGAAGAGGCCTCCGACCCGCGCCCGCTAAGGGGCCCTAGCGTAGCCGGGAGCGAGAGGAGGGGCCTCGGACGTAGGCTGCTCTTCCCCGGTGTGGTGCCATTACTGGGGGACATTCCTCATGCGGCGGGGGGAGGAGGGGAGGAGGCCCCCTTTCTTTTCTTTGAGGGGTCAGAATCCGCAGTCCGCCCTCCGCCTTTAAATAAAAGCCTGTCGGCTGGAGATTGGCATCGCGATGGAGTGCCCGTGGACTTCTCCGCTCGCGGAACTCCAGGGGACGGACAGCGGCTTATGAATTTTGCATTTTAGAGGGTACACAACCCCTTCTATAGGGTGGCGTGCATCTTCTGCAAACTTGTTATTGCTGGTACGCTAATAGTCGCTTTCGGCACATAACAGGTAATACATTCTAAACGTCTGGTGTCAAAATAAGGAGACTCCTTATTTGTGCGCCGTGGGGCACAGTTAAGGAGTAGGAGGAAGACAAAGGAGGCCGTTATTTATGTGCCGTCCTATTATAAAAACTTTCCGTGGTGGGGCAGGGTGCGTGGCTATTGGCCTCTGCCGTATGGACTTTCAGAGTGATTGAGGTGAGTTGCAAATCCTCATTTAGAATTATGAAACGTATATGATTATACATAATTGTTAGTCAAATGACCTGAAATAAATATCTGAGAATTATGTGATGTTTGATCTTTGGAGGAGAACAGAACTTGGGTTTCTTGAAAGGAAGCTTTCTCCATGTTTAGAAAGCTTCAGGGATGCTTTGTGAAGTTGCTAAAAATAGTTACTGTTCTTTATGTTGGCAGTAATAACTGCCACATTCAATAGAAGAGAAAGGAATTGTTCTATAAAGAGCAGCTCATTTTAGGGGTTAAACTTCAGGAGTTAAGCACAATGAAACAACTTCAGGGATAGCAAGTTTTAGCTTATACTTTAAAAATTCAATTTTAGTCACAGTCCAAATATATAAAAGCTCTTAGTTGACTCCTGTATATTCAGTGAACTATTTAAAAAGATGATCTTTAACCTTTGTTAGTCTACACAGCCTGTTCTATAACTCTTGGCTTCCATTCAGTCCAGTGTCTAGAAATGTAGTATTCATTCTGACTCCTTTTTTTTGTTTGTTTTTTTTGAGACGGAGTCTTACTCTGTTTTCCAGGCTGGAATGCAGTGGCATGAGCTCACTGCAGTCTCCACCTTTCAGGTTCAAGCTGTTGTCCTGCTCCAGCCTCCTGGGTAGCTGGAATTACAGGCACCTGCCACCTTGCCCGACTAATTTTTTTGATTTTTAGTAGAGATAGGGTTTCACTGTGTTTTCCAGGCCAACCTGGTCTCAAACTCCCGACGTCAAGTGATCCACTCATATCTGTTTTGTTTGTTTGTTTGTTTGTTTGTTGACTGTGCGGCCACAATACATTTTGGCTCTTAAGAAATGTGGCTTGCCAACTTTAAATGAAAGAATCTTATGGCCGGGCATAGTAATTTACGCCTGTAATCCCAGCACATTGAGAGGCCTAGGCAGGTCGATCACCTGAGGTCTGGAGTTTGAGACCAGCCTGACCAACATGGAGAAACCCCGTCTCTACCAAAAATACAGAAATTAGCTGGGCATGGTGACACGTGCCTGTAATCCCAGCTACTCAGGAAGCTGAGGCAGGAGACTTGCTTGAACTCAGGAGGTGGAGGTTTCAGTGAGCCAAGATCATGCCATTGCACTCCAGCCTGGGCAACAAGAGGGAAACTCCATTTCAAAAAAAAAAATGAAAGAAATAGTTTGCCCTGAGGTGTGGAGGAGGAAGGCATTATAAAGTACAGGATTAAGCTCATGTTATGCAAATACTTTTTTTTGTTGGGGGGGGGGCAGGCAGAGTTATGCTCTTGTTGCCCAGGCTGTGCAGTGGCGCAATCTCAGCTCACCGAAACCTCCACCTCCCGGGTTCAAGCGATTCTCCTGGCTCAGCCTCCCGAGTAGCTGGGATAATAGGCATGTTCTATCACACCTGGCTAATTTTGTATTTTTAGTAGAGGTGGCGTTTCTCCATGTCAAGCTGGTCTCGAACTCTCAACCTTAGGTCATCCGCCCACTTCAGCCTCCCAAAGTGCTGGGATTACAGACATGAGCCACTGTGCCCAGCCTGCAAATACTTTTTATATAAACATAAATATTCTGCAGGTAAATATGTAGTGATGGTTATGCACACAGGCTCTAATAGTGCTGATTCCCAACTTAATAAAATTGAAGTCTGAAAGTAGGAAAGGATTGGTTTTAGTTCTCTGCTTTTTTTTCTTTTTCTTTTTCTTTTTATCATTTTCTTTAACCCACATTTCTTTCTGTTTTTAGTTAATATTTATATGATTAATTGTCATAGTTAATTTCTTGTTTGGCTTGTTTATGAATTATTTAGTAAGCAGAATACTGTACTGATTTCTTGGCAGTAACAGGGAAGGAATATACGGAATATGTAGAAGCTCTACACTTTAGAAATGTGTCTTTTTTTAAATTTTTTTATTTTTGAGACAGAGTCTGGTTCTGTTGCCCAGGCTGTAGTGCAGTGGTATGATCTCCACTCACTACAACCTCTGCCTCCCGGGTTCAAGCAATTCTGCCTCAGCCTTCCAAGTAGCTGGGATTGCAAGTGCATGCCTCCATGCCCAGCTAATTTTTGTATTTTTAGTAGAGAAGGGGATTCTCCATATTGGCCAGGCTGGTCTCGAACTCCTGACCGCAAGGACCCACCCGCCTTAGCCTCCCAAAGTGCTGGGATTGCAGGCGTGAGCTACCACACCCAGCCAAGTCAGTGTTTCATTTTCTTTCCATTGGAATAAATAGCTTTACTCTTGTCCATTTGTTCTTCGTGTTTTGCATAGAGTTGGCCCTCAATAAATGTGAGCTATGTCAGACGAAGTTTTGCTCTTGTTGCCCATGCTAGAGTGCAGTGGCTCTTTTGCCCATGCTGGAGTGCAGTGGTATGATCTCAGCTCACTGCAACCTCCGCCTCCCAGGTTCAAGCAATTATCCTGCCTCCACCTCCCGAGTAGCTGGGATTACAGGCATGTGCCAACCACGCCTGGCTAATTTTCTGAATTTTTTGTAGAGACGGAGTTTCTCCATGTTGGTCAGGCTGGTTTTGAATTCCTGACATCAGGTGATCCACCGGCCTTGGCCTCCCAAAGTGCTGGGATTACAGGTGTGAGCCACTGTGCCCGGCTGCACATCTAATTTTTTCTATGTTTTTTTTCTGAGACAGAGTCTTGCTGTCACCCAGGCTGGAGTGCAGTGGTACGATCTTTGCTCACTGCAACCTCCACCTCCCAGGTAAAAGCTCCTGCCTCAGCCTCCTAAATAGCTGGGATTACAGGCACATGCCATCACACCTGGCTAAATTTTTTATTTTTAGTAGAGACAGGGTTTCACCATGTTGGTCAGGGTTGTCTTGAACTCCGGACCTCATGATCTGCCTGCCTCGGCCTCCCAAAGTGCTGGAATTACAAGCGTGAGCTACTGTGCCCGGCCAATGTTATGTTTTTTTCAGTGTGGACTGATACCTGAGTCAGAGATACTGGCATTTTGCCTCTAAAAGCCTAACATAATGTAAGCTAAGACTGTATATCCTGAGTGCTGACAGATTATGAATGTCTCTCTCTCTCTCTCTCTCTCTCTGTGTGTGTGTGTGTACGCGCGCACGCGCATGTGTGTGTGTGTATGTGTGTGTATATATATATATATATTTTTTTTTTTTTTTTCTTTTTAATTTTTACCCTCCTGGTAAGTCAGAACATTTTTTTTAAAAAAAATTTCAGACAGAGTCTTGCTCTGTTGCCCAGGCTGGAGTTCAGTGGCCTGATCCCAGCTCACTGCAACCACTGCCTCCTGGGTTCAAGCCATTCTTCTGCCTCAGCCTCCCGAGTAGCTGGGACTACAGGCTCGAGCCACCATGCCCAGATGATGTTTGTATTTTTAGTAGATGTGGGGTTTCACCATATTGGCCAGGCTGGTCTCGAACTCCTGACCTCATGATCCGCCCACCTTGGCCTCCCAAGTGCTGGGATTACAGGTGTGAGCCACTGTGCCTGGCCAAAACATTTTTTTTTTTTTTAAACAAAATTTTTGTCAATTTTTGTGTTTTTAATAGAGAAAGGGTTTTACCATTTGGCCAGGCTGGTCTCAAACCCCTGACATCAGGTGATCTGCCCAGCCCGGCCTCTAAAAGTGCTGGGATTGTAGACATGAACCACTGTGCCTGTTTTGGTTGTCTTTGCTAAATTCCAGAATTTGCTTTTCTTCCATTTGGAAATCAAATCTATTTGGCTTTGCAGAAAGAAAGATTTTTGTGGGCCGGGCATGGTGGCTCACGCCTGTGATCCCAGCACTTTGGGAGGCCGAGGCGGGTGGATCATGAGGTCGAGAGATCGAGACCATCCTGGTCAAAATGGTGAAACCCCATCTCTACTAAAAATACAAAAAATCAGCTGGGCATGGTGGCGCGTGCCTGTAATCCCAGCTACTCAGGAGGCTGAGGCAGGAGAATTGCCTGAACCCAGGAGGCGGAGGTTGCGGTGAGCCGAGATCGCGCCATTGCACTCCAACCTGGGTAACGCGCGAAACTCCGTCTCAAAAAAATAAAAAAAAAAATAAAAGGCCAGGTGCAATGGCCCACACCTGTAATTCTACCACTTTGGTAGGCCAAGGCAGGCAGATTGCTTGTTCCCAGGAGTTCAAGACCAGCCTGGGTGACAGCAAAATCCCATCTCAACGAAAATCAGCTGGGCATGGTGGCTTGTGCCTGTAGTCTCAGCTACTTGAGAGGCTGAGATGGAAGGGTACCCTGAGCCTGGGAGGTTGGGGCTGCAGTGAGCCCAGCTGTGATTGCACCAATGGACTCCAGCCTTGGTAATAGAATAAGACTGTCTCAAAAAACATACATATATATGATAACTACTCTTTCTGGAGTAAGTAGGGGGTTGGGAGTGGGGGCTCTAACAATACCCAAAAAGAAATAACATTTAAAGTAAGAGCTAAAAGATGCATAGAGATTGGTATGTGGAGAGAAGAGACTGTTTGTTAGAGAAAGGAAACGTGCAAAAGCCTGGAAAGCATGAGATTATTTCAGCAAGAAAATATGTATGGTGGGAAGGGTTGGGAGGGGAGATGAAACGGACTAGATTGTAGATGGGCCCTGAACATCAACCTGAAGAGTTTCTGATTTATTCTGAGGACAAATGACAAGCCATTGGAAGAATTTAAATAAGGGCATGACTTGCTCTCACTTGTAGCTTAGGTTGGTTTGGAGGAGGCGCAGTCAGAGTCAGGCCCAGTAATAAAGTCTCATTTGGATGAGCTATTCTTGGGACAGTGAGGAAGAAAGAAGTGGACAAATTGTAATCTAAGATACATAGAAGTAATTCAACTTGGTGCCAGGTATAAACAGGAGTCAAAGATGATGCCCAGTTTCTGGCTTGAGTGGCAATATAATATTAACAAGTGTAGGGAGCAGTGAGCATGCCCGCACACGTGCACAGAAGGTCAGGGGAGGTGCTTAGAAGTGTATCCAAACCACATATGATAGGTTAAGATGACCCCTGCCAATATAAAGAGGTGATTTTTTTTCTAGTTTAGTGCAAAATCTACCCTTTATAGTTGAAAGTAGACATTATTTTTATGGCTGATGGAGGGTATGGGGCCAAAAGGAACTACTCTTGGACATAGAGATTCTGGTATATTTTAAGTAGAAACCCATTTTAATTAATAATGATTTTCTATGTTTTCAGTTGACTTAACAAATTCAACAAACCTTAATAGTTTCTGAGCATCTGCTCTATAATGTGGCAGCTCCCATACCAAACAAGACATAAATATTCTCATGGAACTCATATTAGAAAACAAATGCCTTGTCAGAGTGGGGACAAAAAAAAAAAAAGAAAGAAAAAACAAATGCCTTACTATGTAAAACTTAAACCATGTAATGTCAATTTTTATCCAAACTCTGTTAGATATTTTAAACACGCTTTATCTCATAAATTAGCTAATGATGATTTTAGTTTATAGCAAATGAAACTACAGTCCATCTGCCTGTTCCTAAGCTTTAGGTGAATTTTTAGATGATTTTACCCAAACTGATTATTGTGTTTATTCTCTTTAAGCTCAGAAGTATCACATAAAACATTTAGTAGCTGGGCAAGGTGGCTCATTCCTGTTGTCCCAGCTACTCGGAAGGCTGAGGCAGGAGAATTGCTTGAACCCAGCAGGTAGAGGTTGCAGTGAGCCGAGACAGAGTCACTGCTCTCCAGCCTGGGTGACAGAGTGAGTCTCCGTCTCAAAAAAAACCTCATTTAGNAAAAAAAAAAAAAAAAAGAAAGATTTTTGTGGATATTTGGTGAGGAAGAGGCTAAAATGGTGAATAAAAACTTAAGCAAGAGTATTTTAAGTTGGGTCTTGTGTTTTCGTTTTAGTATAGTAGAGTGATTCTCATGGTAAAAGGTGGATTTTCATCACCCCCCCCCCCAATCCCCCCTGAACATTTGGCAATGTCTGTAGAAATTTTTGGTTGTCACATATTTTGGGGGAGGGAGAGAGGTATCGCTACTGACATCTAGTGGGTAGAGGCCAGAGATGCTACTAAACATGGTACAATGCAGTAGACAAACCACAACAAAATTATCTGATCCAAATGACAGTGCTGCTATTGAAAAGCCATGATGTGCTGCACTGTAAATTGTTGGTTCTGAAGTTATCAAAACTCTTATTTGGTTTAACCATTTCCTGATGTGTGACCCTGGCAGAATGCTTAATGTCTGTAAAATAGAGCTATAATATAATATTGTATGTTCCCTATAGGCTTGTATTGAGGATTAGATAATGTGCAAAGAACCAAGCTTATTACCTGGCACATACTAAATGCTAAAAAATTGCTAACTTTCAGTCAGTACTATATTTGGAACTCGTCTTGAGCTTTGAGAGTCTCCTTTTTTCTCATCTGAAATTAGAATTTGAGCTAGTGAAGTGATAATCTAGTGCTTATATTGGTAGGGAATGAGTGAAAAAATCATTCCACTTAATATTTGTGTTTATCCCAGTCTTGTTTTATGTTCTCAAGTCTAAAAAGCTTCTGCCATAAACGAGTAGCTTCTCACTGTAGATATTTTCCCATCAAGTTGAGACTTTAAGCCAGCTTGCCAATAAGCTCTGTATCTGTTGATTTTCAGCAAATATTTCATAATTTAACAGAATTTGATTCTGTGACTTCATTCTCATTTCCTTTTGCCTTTATAGACTTAAGTAAGTTTACAGTGGTTTTGGCTAACGTTATTACCTGTTTGCAGCCTCTGGGAGTAACTTTTCTTAATTGAGGTTTTGGTGCATTTTTACATTTGAAGGGTGCACGTAAATATCTCTTAACAACTTGGGGCTAGCCCTTCATATACATTTGTGACTCTTTTTCTGAATATGAATTGGAACCCATATCTTTATTTCTCTTATCTGATCACAACATAATACTGTAGTTGCTATAAAACTCTCATTTCCTCTAAGTGATATGGCTGTTTAAAGCTGGCTTGTTGTGGTGGTGGTTTTA